CCACAAGTAGTAACCCTACCCAAAAAAGATATCAATGATGTTGAAAAATTCAAGCACTATGCAAGGATGATGTTTGCCCCTTGTGTAATATATGCAGACTTTGAGTCAAAAAATAAAAAATGTGATGAGTCATATGGAGGAAGCATGCGTAAACTTGGTGAGCAAGTACCCAGTAGTTTTTGCTATACAGTTCATTGGATTGACACTGGTGAAGTATGGGGGCCTTTCACTTACCGAGGTCCAAATGCTACGCATGAATTTGTTAAAAGAATGGATAAAGAACTAGTAAAAATTAATGAAGTCTTAGCAATCAATAATGATATTAGAGATAATAAAAGTAGTCCAGAATACTTAATAGCAAAGCAAAAATTTGACGAATCTACTGAATGCTGGATTTGTAAAAAGCCATTAGATGGTGATAAGGTCTGGGATCATAATCATATTACAGGTAAGTATCGAGGTTCAGCTCATAATGATTGCAATCTCCAACTTCGAATTCAACCATGGAAAACACCAATTCCAATAGTGTTTCATAATTTTAGAGGCTATGATTTCCACTTAGTCTGTGAATCAATCGGCCGATCTGTTAATGCACACCAGATAACAGTTATTGCAGAGACTTTTGAGCGATATAAAATGATGAAGGTAGGGCAAATGAAATATATAGATAGTAATCAATTTATGTTATCTAGCTTGGCCAAACTTGCAGATAATTTAGGTGCTGTCAAATGCAAGGATACAGACTGCGAGCATTACCATAGAATAGATAAAGACCAATGTATTGGAACTTTGGCGAATCACAAAATCACTAAGCAGTATTATGAAAAAATAGGATATTCACCAGAGCAAATAGCATTGGTATGTAGTAAAGGAGAACTTCCATATGATTATATTGATTCTGATGATAGATTCAATGAAACTGAGCTTCCTCCAATTGAGGCGTTTGGTGGAAAACTTAATGGCAAAATCACTCAAGAAGCTTATGAACATGCCCAGAAAATATGGAAAAAATTTGGATGTAGAAACTTAGGTGAGTATCACGACTTATATCTCAAAACTGATGTGCTTCTTCTTACAGACATCTTTACAAAATTTCGAGAAACATCTATGAAACATTATGGTCTTGATCCAGCTCATTATATATCTGCTCCTTCATTATCTTGGGATGCAATGCTTAAAATGACTGGCGTAGAAATCGAACTTTTCACAGAGATATCTATGCATGATTTTATTGAAAAAGCCAAAAGAGGCGGTATTGCAATGGCAGTACATCGACATTTCAAAGCTAATAATCCAAGAATGGGTGATGAATATGATCCATCACAACCTACAACATGGATTTCATATGTCGATGCAAATAATCTTTATGGATGGGCTATGAGTCAATTTCTACCAATTAGAAATTATAAATGGTTTGCAACTAGAGCAGTTTTAAATAATAGAAAAGACTTGCAACGTAATTATCTTAAAATGATTTTAAATACTAAAGCTGATGCTCCACGAGGATATTTCCTAAATATTAAGGCCCATTTTCCTAGCAAGTTACATGATTATCTCAATGAATTACCGCCTGCAGTTGAGAATGTTGCAATAAAAAAGAACCAGCTTAGTCCTTATAATAATAAGTTAGTAGAAGATTTAGATGGGGGTCGATTTTCTGAGATAAAAAAACTAGTCCCACATCTTGGTCCTCGGGAAAACTATGTAATCCATTATCAAGAGCTTCAATATTACGTAAAATTGGGGATGGTTGTGGATGAAGTAACTGAAATACTTTCATTTGATCAAACTAACTGGCTTGCACCATATATAAAATTCAATACAGAGTTGCGTCAAAAGGCTGAGAATGATTTTGAAAAGGACTTCTTCAAGCTTATGAATAATTCAGTATATGGCAAGACCATGGAAAATGTTCGTAAGTATCAAGATGTTAAGATTATGGCTATGAATAATGATAATGATGAGAAGAAGTTCCGAAAAAAAGTATCCAAACCATCTTTCAAGTATGCTAGACAATTATCCAATACACTTATTGGCGCTCATATGGGACAAGCATCTGTAGTTCTCAATAAACCAATTATTGTTGGTGCATCAGTCTTGGGACTTAGTAAGTTATTAATGTATCGATTCTGGTATGGATACGTAAAAGAAAAATATGGCAATAAAGCCAAGCTTGGGTATATGGATACAGATTCATTTATATTTATAACCGAGACTGAAGATATTTATAAGGATATGTCAGAAAGACCTGATATTTTCGATCTTACTGATTCCAAAACTATTGGCCTATTCAAGGATGAGTGTCCAGGTAAAATAATAACTGAATCTATCCATATTCGAGCCAAAACATATCACTATACCATTTCAGATGGATCTACTAGATCAAAGCATAAAGGGGTCAGCAAATTGGGTATGAATAAAATGGCTACTAATACGTACTTCCCATCATTAGGTGGTTCATTGTTAGATGATTCAATCCCCCCAAATAAGATAATTGATCCAATGACCCTGGTATATCGGGATTGTCTCTTTGGAAATGAGGTATTCTATGCCAAGAATATAGGATTTCGATCAAAAGACCATATATTATCAATGGTTGAATCCGAGAAAAAGGCTCTATGTCCTCTTAATTCAAAGAACTGGGTATTATCAGATGGAATTACACCTTGGGCATATGTTCATTGGAGAATTGACGCTTACAAAAGTATGGTTAAAGCTGGTATGTCTCCAGAGTTGGCCGAAAAAAGAGCAATAGTAGCTCAGCATCATCCAACATTAGAAAACAAGTATATGGTAAATCCAAAACTATTATAGTGGAGCTAGTGTCTCCGACATATATGTATAATTTATTTGCAATATTATTAGAAATGATCTACTTAGGTGTCACAATTCTAGCATGACTCTAGCGCGACTCTAGCGCGACTGTAGTGCGACTGTATCATGAGTATATTATTTTATATATAAATATATAGGAAAAAATCTAGCGTGACTGTAGCGCGACTCTAGCAAGACTGCAACACACTTATTTTTGATAAATTAGTAGTTTCAGGATAATACTTTGTATGTATGAAATTAATTTATTTTCTATGAGCGATCTCTAGTCAAATTTGGATGTATGAAATGCTAAATATGATCTAGGAATTTATATAGTTATTTTTTCGTGGTAATATATAATGATTATAGATGATCTGCATCGTATTATGGATTCACTGTACTAATCACGTCTCGTCACATGTCCTGACCACGCGGTCAGGGATTGATATGTGTACCCCTGATCATAATAATGATGCATGCATGTTTATTTGTGCGATTAACCAAATTCACATATGACTAATTTATATTCTAGCTTTTTTTGAAAAAAAGTATATCCGAATAATTTTCATTCGAATTCTAAGAATTTCGAGAATATTTTAATTCTCAGAATATATATTATATAAAAATTATGAATTTCCATGAATATTATTCAGAACTTCTCAAGAAATTACCACCTTCCATAAAAAGGAATATATGGAATCGACTTACTTCTAGAGTACATAATCCATTGACAGAAGAACAAGCAAGTAGTATTAATCCTGATA